AAAAGGAGGAAAGAAAATGGCCGCCTGAACCCCCCACGGGCAGACACCGCAGTGAGACGCCCGCTCTGTCCGCAGGCTGTCACTGCCCGCGACTCGATGGCCAAGTCTCTGTACAGCGCCCTATTCGACTGGATCGTGCTGCGGATCAACCACGCCTTGCTCAACAAGAAGGACATGGAAGAGGCCGTCTCGGTGAGTGTCCCCTGCCCAGGCCACCCAGCCTGACCTGGGGAGACCACACCCTCCGGTGCTGAAGGTCCTCGGTGGGCAACCCCTGCCGTCCAAAGCTGAGGCGTCCAGCCAGCAGATGGTATGGAAGTCAAGCCGCTGGATCCCACATGGCCACCGGCACAGGTCGTGAACATGGCGGCTTGAAAATACTCCAGGTGTGGGGGACCAGCCCCTGCCCAGGCCACCCAGCCTGACCTGGGGAGACCACACCCTCCGGTGCTGAAGGTCCTCGGTGGGCAACCCCTGCCGTCCAAAGCTGAGGCGTCCAGCCAGCAGATGGTATGGAAGTCAAGCCGCTGGATCCCACATGGCCACCGGCACAGGTCGTGAACATGGCGGCTTGAAAATACTCCAGGTGTGGGGGACCAGCAGTTAGCGTCATGGCTATGTCGGAGCATGTGCACGCATGCCCCAAATCCCAAGAAGAGAACAGAGAAGGGATTGCGGTGTGGCCGTCCCCCCGGGGAGGGTGCTTCCACACTCTCCCTCTCTCGCCCTCTCTCTGTCTCTCTAATTAGCAATTGCAGCCTGGTGACAGCAATGGGGCCCTGAGGACTAACCAGGTCATGGCCCACGAGGCTGGCCCCTCTGCAGAATGTCCGCTTCCTTGGATAGACAGTTCCCTGTAGTCACCATCTCTCTGTCTCCCCCAGTGCTTGTCCATCGGCGTCCTGGATATCTTTGGGTTCGAGGACTTCGAGAGGAACAGTTTCGAGCAGTTCTGCATCAACTACGCCAACGAGCAGCTCCAGTACTACTTTAACCAGCACATCTTCAAACTGGAACAGGTGAGCTGGTGCCTCTCTTCATAAGAAGCTGTTGGGACCAGCAGTTAGCGTCATGGCCATGTCGCTGGATTCCCATGTAGTCGACTGCGGTTCGAGTCCCGGACCCGGTGGCTTAAACTCACGCCGGGCGCGTGTGCGTGCGTGCCCAAGATCCCGAGAGGAGAATGGAGGAGAAGGGATTGCGGCGTGGCCATCCCCCCTGGGGGGTGATTTCTCGCTTTCTGTCTCTCTGTCTCTCTCTGTCTGTCTGGTGAGCGCACGTGCCCTACAGCAAAAACCTCTCCAAAAAAAGGAAAATAAATTATCTTACTTATTGGGACCAGCAGGTTGGTATGGTGGCTAAGATGCTGGAAATCCCACGTGGCTGACTGCGGTTCGAGTCCCGGACCTGGTGGCTTGCTTTCTAACTCTCCCTCTCTCACTCTCTCATGTCTTTCTCTGACAAAGCTCATGTGAATAATAACAATAATAATAATAAAGAAATAATTTAAGTTATTTTATGTATGTATTTTAATTTGACCAGAGAGGGTCAGAGAGAGAAAGATAGAAAATGAGAAACCAAGCTGCCAGGTCCAGGACTCGAACCTCAGTTGGCTATGTGGGAGTCCAGCGCCCTTAATTACCATGTCACCTACCAGCGCCCCCTCCTCCTCCACCCCCCCCATTATCTGGTGCTGGATTCCCACGGGGCCGACCGTGGTTCGAGTCCTGGAACCTGATGGCTTATTTTCTCACTTTCCCTTTCTCGCTCTCTCTGGTCAAAAATTTTTTTAAATAATAAATAAATAAATAGCAAATAGAATTAAATAAATAAATATTTCCTTGCCTGAGGGCACCTGTGTGTTTTACTAGAGACAGGGCAGAGTCACCCTCCACAATTTCTTTCCCTTCAATCTCTCCACCCTGTCGGGATGTGGGCACACACGCACATGCACCTGGCGTGTGTATAAAGCCCCGGATCTGGTGTATACACTACAGTCGGCCACACTGCAGTCCGACACACCTGAATGCTAGACGATGGGGCTTACTGCTTTTCCTTCATTGTCGGATGGTACGTCTGCTCGTGGGGGTACCGGGAGAGCAAGAAAGCACCTCTCTGGGGTGCGGTCATGCCACAGTCCTTTCTCCCCCACCTGTCCCCCGTTTTGGGATTTCGTCATGCGCATAGACGTGTCCAGCGTCTTTCTCAAACTGCCAGATCTGGGACTCGAACGGCACCGTCAGCCGCAAGGGATCCAGCCGCCTCGACTCCCACGCTGCCGGCCTGCCTTCTGGGCTTCGTTGTTTTGGTTGGTTTGTTTTCGTTGTGTTTTTTTGCACCTGCGCTCGCCAGAGAGAGACAGAGACAGTGAGGGGGAAAGTGAGAAATACCCCCACCCCACCCCCGAAGAGGGATGGCCACACCACAGTCCCTTCTCCTCCTCGGACTTTGGGCACGCACACACACGCACCCAGCGTGAGTTTCCAGCTGCCAGGTCTGGGACTCGAATTGCGGTCGGCCAGGTGGGAGTCCAGCACCTTAACCACCACACCACCTGCTGGCCCCCAGTTTAGTTTCTGGAGGACCCACCATACTGTTGTACGCAGCGGTCACACCATTTTAGAACAGAATACCGTCGTGTCACCTACCTACCCCAAAGAGAAACGGGATCAGGTAGAAACGGAATGTCCCTTGGGGCCTAGTTTTTAGCGAATTTTTCGCAGGGTTTTTCTCTGCTAAAGGGAAAGTCCAGGGAAATCCCACCTACCCCAGGGCGAGCCAGATGTGGGGATGTTTTTTGAAGTCCAGGGTCATTTTACTGTGCTCAAACATCCGAAGGCTTTTGGACAGGCGAGGAACAGAGTTATTTTTTGGTTCGTTTTTAAAGAATTATTTACTGCAGGGACCAGCAGTTAGCATAATGGCTATGTCATTGGACTCCCATGCAGTCGACCATGGTTCAAGTCCCAGACCCAGTGACTTAAACTCACGCCGGGTGCGTGTGCGTGCGTGCCCAAGATCCCGAGAGGAGAATGGAGGAGAAGGGATTGCGGCGTGGCTATCCCCCCTGGGGGGTGATTTCTCGCTTTCTGTCTCTCTGTCTGACAAGCGCACGCGCCCTATAGCAAAAACCTCTCCAAAAAAAGAAAAGAGATTAATTTATGTTTACTTTTATTTATTATCATTATTCTTCACTTTTGATCAGAGAAAGACAGACGGAGAGAAGGGGAGAGTGAGAAAGCAAGCTGCCAGGTTTGGGACTCGAACTGTGGTTGGCCATGTGGGATTCCAGCGCCTTAACCACCACACCACCTGCTGTCTCCGCCCCCATCCCCGCATTTTTTTGGGAGAGGTTGTTGGGTCACTGGATTCCCATATGGCCAATCATGGTTCAAGTCCCAGACCTGGCAGCTCACTTTCTCCCTTTCCATAACTCTCTGTATCTCTTTATCTCTCTTCGGTCAAATTAAGTAATAATAATGACAAACTAAAATACCTTATTCTTTAAAAATAATAATAGTAAAAGAACAGCAGATGGCATTGAGGTTACATTGCTGGACTCCTACCACGGTTCAACTTGGCTGACTACGGTTTGAGTCCCATACCCGGTGGCCTGAAAATCATGCAAGGCGGGACCAGCAGTTGGCGTAATGACATTGTCGCTGGACTCCCATGTAGTCGACCGCGGTTCGAGTCCCAGACCCGGTGGCTTAAACTCACACCAGGTGCGTGTGCATGCGTGCCCAAGATCCCGAGAAGAAAATGGAGGAGAAGGGATTGCGGCGTGGCCATCCCTCCGGGGAGTGATTTCTCACTTTCTGTCTCTCTGTCTCTCTCTGTCTTTCTGGGGCGCGCACGTGCCCTATAGCAAAAACCTCTCCAAGAAATAAATAAAAAAAAAAGAAACGCGTGTTTGTACGTGGAGGTGCTGGATGTGACACGTCGTAGGAACATTAACATGACTGTGAAATAATGAGCGTACGTGCCCCCCTCTCCCGCCCCTGCAGGAGGAGTACCAGGGCGAGGGTATCTCGTGGCACAACATCGACTACACGGACAACGTGGGCTGCATCCACCTGATCAGCAAGAAGCCCACCGGCCTCTTCTACCTGCTGGACGAGGAGAGCAAGTGAGTGTCCAGGGCTCGTCTGCAGACCTGAAGACCAGGATCTGGCCCCACAGCCTGGTGGCTAAGGCGGCCGGATCCTACATGGCTGACTGCGGTTCGAATCCTGGCCCCGGTGGTTTGTGCGTGCCCCAAATTCCACAATGAAGGGATCGTGGCATGACCACGTCCCGTGGTGGGTGGTGGTTTCTCTCTCGCTAGGGCGAATGCACACGCCTTCTGACAGTTCAGAACAAAGCTGGGTTCAGATTACACAGGCCCGGGATCCTTGGTCCCAGATCCCAACCACCCTGAGAACGTCTTGGTTTCTCGGATTTTATTTGGCCAGAAATCCTGAGCTCCTATGCATGCACAGCTCACTGTGGGAATGTTTTTTCCCTCTTCTTTTTTTTTCTTTTCAAGTCTTTATTTTTTTTTTATTTAATTTATTTATTCATTTAGTGTAATTTGACCAAAGAAAGACCCAGAGAGAGTGAGTGGGAAAGTAAGAAAGCAAGCTACCAGGTCCAGGACTCGAACCATGATTGGCCATGTGGGAGTGTCCAGCGCCTTAACCACCACGCCACCTGCTGGTCCCATTTTCTTCATTTGTGCTATGTGGTGTATGTCCTCATCGGAGATGCGGTATGCATGCAGGAGGAAAGCACCCCCACGTGTGCCTGCCGTGTTTTCCAAGCTCCCAGGTCTGGGCCTCGAACCACACAGTTGGCCGTGTGTGATCCAGCCGCCCTAACCACCATGCCACCTGCTGTCCCCCTATTTTTTTTGGAGAGGTTTTTGCTATAGGACACGTGCACTCACCAGAAAGACAGAGAAAGACAGAAAGCGAGAAATCACCCCCCCAGGGGGGATGGCCACGCCGCAATCCCTTCTCCTCCATTCTCCTCTCGGGATCTTGGGCACGCACGCACGCACACGCGCCCGGTGTGAGTTTAAGCCACCGGGTCTGGGACTCGAACCGCGGTCGACTACATGGGAGTCCAGCGACATAGCCATTACGCTTACTGCTGTTTCTTCATTGCTTTCGGTTTAAAATCTTACGCTAGAATGTTGTTTATCTGAAAGATCTAGTCCTTCGGTGCCCAAGTGCAGTGCGTCCCTCTCTGTAGCATTTTCACACTTGCAGACAGAGTTTCACAGCTGCGGAATCGCGCCTCTTGTTCCCCCTCAGGGCTCCCCGCACCATGGAGCCCCAACAGCCCCGGCATTGGGTTTGGGCACACGCCGTGTTGCCTGCACTTGCGGTGAGACCAAACACAGGGCGGGTGTGCCCGGCCAAGGGCAGCATTCCCCCTCCTGGAGGCAGAAATAGCTAAGTACAAGGAGTCTCTTCTTGGGCTCCCACACCCCGCCTCCCCAGAGCAAAACAGAGCCCCACTTCATTCCTGTTTCCCGGCCTCCCCTTCCACTTTGGAGGCTGGGCAAGACCCACCCCTTTCAGGCACAGCGTCCAGGTACAAACATCCGAGAACAGAACCTGGCCACCCAGGGCGGTGCCGCAGTAATGACACTCTGCAATTGCAAGGCTACATGGGAGGGTCCTGGGTTCGCATCCCAAGACCTTCCCCTGTGCACGCTGGGCTGTCTGAGGCTGGGAGGGTGGATGGTGCTGTGAAAACCCTCCTAGTGGGTGCCTGTGTCTCCCTCACACACCCTTTCTCCCTTCTCATGGACGAAATAAGTGTGTTTCAAAGGCAGAGCAGGGGCCAAGTGGGTGGCATGGTGGTTAAGGCGCTGGAAATTCCCAAAAGGGACCCGGTGGCTTGCTTTCTCACTTTCCCTTTCTCTCTGTCTCTCTGGTGTGATTTAAAAATAATAATAATAATAAATAAGGAGACCAGCAGATGATGTAATGGCTATGTTGCTGGACTCCCATGTAGCCGACCGCTGTTCAAGTCCCAGACCCGGTGGCTTCAACTCACGCCAGACGCCTCTGTGTGCGTGCCCAAGATCCCGAGAGGAGAATGGAGGAGAAGGGATTGCGGTGTGGCCATCCCCTGGCGGGGGGTGGGGAGGTGGTTTCTCACTTTCTGTCTCTCTGTCTCTGTCTTTCTGGAGAGCGCACATGCCCTATAACAAAAACATCTCCCAAAAAAAAAACATGTAAGAGAAAACAAGTCAGACACTCACACACACATCCCATCCTGGCCTGCCTCCTCCAAGCCCCTGCCGCTTCCCTGCCCAGATCCTGCACTGTTGTACCATCTGCAGGGAGGGTCTGTAACCTGAACAGCGGGAAAGTATCCCTGCCATTCGCTGCTCAGGCCGTCTAAGGTTCCTAATTCTCCAGGACCAGCAAGTGGCGTGGTGGTGAAGGTGTTGGTGTTGGATTTACTCCTGTGCGGCCATGGTTCAAGTCCTGGACCCAGCCACTTAAGAACCGCAACGAACAAATTTTTTTTTTTTTTTAAATCACAAATTAATTGTCTCTCCCAGCTTCCCCCATGCCACAAGCCAGACCCTGCTGGCCAAGTTCAAACAGCAGCACGAGGACAACAAGTACTTCCTGGGCACCCCGGTCATGGAGCCCGCGTTCATCATCCAGCACTTCGCGGGCAAAGTGAAGTATCAGATCAAGGTGTGTGTCTGCCCGCGGCCATTGTCCGGGTCACCGGGGACGCCATGGTGGGCCCACAGGGCGGAAAGAGACCTCACAGTCAAGCTCCCTACAATGTCTTTATCACGCATGGTGTTGGGGCGGATCCAGGGGCGGTGCCTATGCAAATATGTCTCTGATGTCAGTGCCCCGCCCACCCAGCCCCAGCTCCCATGCCTAAGGCCTTGCCTACCCGACCCCAGCATTTGTGTCCAAGGCCCCGCCCACGTGATCCTGGCTCCCATGCCCAAGGCTCCACTCACTTGACCCCAGGCTTCCATGTATGAAACCTCCTTGTCCTCCTGGCTCGGCTCCCTTGTCTGAAGCTCCACCCACCCAGCACCCTTGGCCAAGGCCCCGCCCACCCAAGCCTAGCTCCCT